GCAGGATTGGCTGCACGGGTTATCGACCCCAGCAAGATACTGCTACCGGCAGACCGCATACGACTAAACGCGTGCGCAATACTGGACGTGGTGCAGCATGACGCACAACGCTCCATCGCCGACCTACAAAGTAACGACATGGTCAGTTTTGGCCAGCTGATCCTCACGCTCGGGGCTAGCTCGCTAGCTCATAACCCCACAAAGGCGCTAGAGCATTTCTCCCGTGCCTACAGTCCACAACTATATAACTCCGTCTTTTGGCTTCTAGGCGCTGGACCATCCAAGGACCCCCAACATCCCCCCACAGACCGATCCATCGATGTTTTCATCACCGGCATATCCTCTCAACTTATCTCTACCTTTGACTCCTCTCTCCACGTCGACGACGAGTTAACCTACGACCTAAGCCGGGAACTTGAAAACGCACGCCTTGTCCGCCTCCTCACCAAGCTCAATTTCATCACGGAAAGACCGGAATACGATCATGATCGCCACTGGTCAGAGAATGGGGAGCGGTATTTCCTGAAGCTCTTTAGAGACTATGTCTTCCATCAGGTTGATGCGCAAAACGCCCCTGTCGTAGACCTGGGCCACGTGTTGACTTGTTTGAATAAACTTGATGCCGGAAGCGACGAGAAGGTGACGTTGATCAGCAGGGATGAACAGAGCTGTTTTGTAGTTAGCTATAAAGAGCTTAAGAAGGGAGTCGAGATGTCGTTCCAGGCGTTGATGAAACGGCGGTAAAACTTACAGGTAGGTGGTTGACGATGTTGATTTATCGTTTTTATTTTGTTTATATATAAGACAAGCCATCTGCCATGTCTAGGAAACGAAATCTAACCCTATCATTATCAAGAATGAGATACACAAATTATAACATATTGACTGTTTTTCCCTCCTCTCATTGAGAAGTAAATTAGAAATCCTGAGGTATTCATTATCTATCGTATGCTCTACTTCAGTTAAGAAACAAGTCAACAACAGCCCTATTCATCTTCCTGCTGCACGAAAGGGTTGGCAATCTCTTCGCTCCCATCAGCCGGCGAAAGCAGAACCAACAACGTCCCCCTCGCCACGATCAAACCAAGTGATCGAGTCGTTATATTGTCATTATCATCTAGTGTGCATTAACACATCCGCCTAGCCACGTCAGTCCAGGGAAGCGCAGACTTACCACGCATAGTCTCTTTAACATCATCTAGCACGAGGTTCATAAGTTGATCATATCCCTTCAGCACACCGGTAACTATCTCCCCAGTTAGTATTATATTTAACAGATAAAATAAACCAGTACATACTTTCTCTGCCTCCGTTAAATTTGACATTGACTTCTTTATCCATGTACTTTGTCAGGTCAAGGATGTTTTCCTTCTTTGGTTTTTCCTGCTGCTGGCCTTGCGTCTGGCCATGGCTCTGGCCCTGGTGGCCTCCGCGGTGCTGGCCCTGGTGTTGGCCCTGGCCCTGGTGGTGACGGCCTCCACGGCCGCTGTCGCCTCCTCCTCTACCTCCGCCAGAACCACGGCCACGAGACTGGCCGCCTCTGAAGGAGCCGCGTTCAGACATCTGTGATTGTGTGTATGTGTGTGGGTATATTATTCTACTTCATATATTAGACAAGGGCCCAGCAGTGAGTAAAAAAATTGGGGCAATTTATCTCGCAAATGCGGTGTGAAGTAATGGACTTGGTAGAATATTTGCTTGGTTTTTGTTATTGTATACACTTTTTGATGTCTTCCCGTCGTTGCCAATTTTCATGTTCACGTGACATCCACAGTGCACTTTTCTTGTTATCGCATGTCTAGCTATTTTACAACTTCTACGAGGAGGTTATGTTTGGCCGTATGTTTGGCCGTACAGGAGACTAACAGATACTCCCTTGAGCGTATGGTCTAGCTTCCCTAGCCCGTAGCTGCTGTAAAACCCAGAGGTACAACGAGAGTACTTCCACTCCCCGCCAACTTCCGCTGTGGGTGCAAGTTTCTCCGAGGTTCCTCTATATCACGTGCTATCACGTGGCTCCGCCCCTGCCGTCTCTGGCGGAAAGTCGGCGGACTCCGCTGGCAGGGCGAAAAAGAGACGTGGGAGAAGAGAGCGAGGCAAGGAGGAGCCCCTTGGAAGCAGCCCCGACGGTTTTATGGGTCATAAAAAAAAAGGGGGGAAAGACGGGAAGAGCTTTTTTCCTCTTAGCCGTTCGATGTGCACCAGCCGGGATTTCCAACGCAGTCTCCGGCTCTCCCATCCCTCCCATCCCTCCACCTGCCTTGCTCTCCTCGTTGCTTTTTCTGCGTGCGTCGGCCTCGTCGAAGCGTTAGGCTGATACAGGAATTCAGCGGGTGGTCACTCTCCTTCGTCTTTTTTTCTTTTCTTTTCTTAGTATGTGTATGTGATTTTTATTTTTATTTTTTCTTGCTGCCCTTGCCGCTCCTCCCCTTCTTCCACCCCGTCCGTTCTGCCGGTCGTCACCTTCTTCCTCCCTCCCACTCCCAACAACTCCATCTCCTTTTTCGTTAATTTCGTTCGACTCTCATCTTTCCCGCCATCTCTCCGCTGTCATGACCATCGACGCACACAGCTAGCATACGTAGTTTAGTTAAATGATGGACCCCAAACGCCCTCGGTCGCCCGGCAGCGGCAACCTCGACTACCCAGCAAAGCAGCCCAAAACGGCACATCCCCAGCACCAGACCCAGCACCAGCAGCACCAGCATCTCCAGATCAACTATCTCGCCAGACAGTACTCCGACACCCTCCCCCTCGTCTCTACGGACGATACTCTACCAGCCATACTTCGCTGGATAGGCGAGTACGACGGCGTGTTGCACCGCCACGAGTCCATCGCTGGGAACCTGGGTGCATGTCCTCTCGGCCCCATACTCGTCAAGCGCTTCGAGCGTCTTTTCGATGGGCCTCCTCGTGTCATAAAGACAACCCCCAATGGCAGTGATAGTAAGGAGAGTACCGTCTCATGGCTTGATGTCGTCGAGTTCGCAAAGGAGTACCCAGAGAAGTTCACTCTCGAAAAGTCTCGAACCGGATCCCGTGTCTGTCAGCTAGATATCAAGCATGCAAGAGTCGAGATCTCCGAAGAGGATTACGTCCTCATTGCCTCGGGGATGCCTCAGAAGATGATTCCTCCACAACCTATCAGCGAAGACGAAGAAAAGGAGCTGGGTGCGCTGGAAATTCTAGAAAAGAACCTCGTCTATATCATCCAGCTGGCTGATCAGGGTATGTCCCTTTTGTTGTATGCACCATGATACAATAGGCATAGCTAATGGGTATATAGTATCGGCTCGAGCCCGGCAACTCAACCACCGGTTGAAAAACCGTCGCAACGCCATCGTTTCCAGACGCGAAAACGATGCTAGTCTCGCTCAGTCGCAGTCGCAGTCGCAGTCGCAAACCCGGGCCATCAGTCCTTGGAAGGATACCACTACTGCCAACGGACATGGACAGTCTCGCACCGCCTCTCCGCCTGGCTTCGTGGCCGTCAACTCTCGCCAGGAACAGGCTCAGTCGTACCATGATGATCCCGCACAGTTCGCCTTCTCCCAGCCTATATCAGACAACGTCACCATCATCAATGGCACCTCCATCAAGGGCGCGTCTCCGAGCACTCGCGCAGAACTCATGAAGAAATTCTTTACTACCTCCGACAGACGGATGCACCAGCACCAGCACCAGAAACCCCAGCACTCTGAACAGACAGATTCTGGATCAGATCACCACCCACCCTCCTACACCGGTCAGGGCAGCTCAGCTATCCCCCCGGTTCCTATTCCAAACACGCCTTCATCTCTACTCCCGCACCCAAAGCCAACCCCTCCACACGATCGCGATGACACTGCTCCTTTCAAGCCAGCCATGGTCGCTCGGATGGAGGATCTGGCCAGAGGGGAGCGCATCCTGCCTCCCTGTGACAGGTGCAGGAGACTGAATATGCACTGTCTGAAGAACCTGACAGCTTGCATGGGCTGCACAAAGAAACATGCCAAATGTTCATGGCGGGACGTCAAGGCAGAAGAACTTCAGCAGGAACGTGCCGGAAGCCAGGAGACTGGTTCTGCTGGCCGAGAGAAGGATAGAGATGCCAGTGAAGATGCATCTGCCTCCGTTCCGGAAGATAGGGGCAACAACAGTCCCGGCCGGGCCACCACCAATGGAACCAACAATGCCAGAAACAACCAGAAACGTGATAGGAGTGGTAGTAATAAGTTAGATGATGATTCTACTGATGTTCTTGCACAGGCAATCATGGACACATTTGATCATCATCGGCAAAGGACTGCTGAGAGGGAGAGAAGCCAGCAGCAGCAGCAACAACAGCAACAGCAGCGAGAAAAGGAAAAAGAGAAAGACAGAGAGAAGAACAAGGAGAAAGATAGGGATAGGGAGAGAACAAATGGCCATGTTGTTGAGGCGCGATGAAGATGAACATGTTGTATATTGACTTTGATCCGGCTTTATCATTTAATTCTTCGCCTCTATACCATATTACTGTTGTCTATTGTTTATATTAAAGCGAGAGCATTATGATGTATGGCTTATTCGGTTTTCTTCTCTTGTCAATCTTCTTGTGAATACATCTTCTCTGCTCAAATTTCCTCCCTCCTGGTTGTTTTCTTTATGTACGGGTTGTGATATTGACCCACTACACAGCATTTCTGCTTCTACTCCTATAACAGTGCCGGAAACTGACCAAATCCCTGTCTCTATTCTCTCGATTGATCAGTAAACAATGCGGGGTAGAAGACACAATGCGTATATATATATATATATATCTGCAGTTGTACAGGAGTTGTCAATACCTACTCTATACACCATCCAACATCCACCAAAATAACTACATACAACAGACCAAGAGCAAGATACAATGTCAGACCTCTCCGTGGACAAAATCACCGAGCATGTTGTGCATACCAACTCGCAGTGTCCTAACCCTCGAACCCGCTATCTCTTCGAGCGTCTCGTAACTCATATCCATGACTTCGCCCGTGAGACAAGGCTAAGTACAGCTGAATGGAAGCTGGCCATCGAATTTCTCACCAAGACGGGCAAGACCTGCTCTGATATCCGACAGGAGTTCATCCTACTATCAGATATTCTTGGATTCTCATCCTTGGTTAACTCCATTGACCATCCTACGCCGCCAGGAGCTACGCATGGAACCCTTCTGGGGCCGTTTCACACACATGATGCTGAGACGCTGGAGAAGGGGGCCGAACTCTCGCGTGACGCGGCTGGGAAGAAGCTGTTTGTCCTTTGTACAGTGCATGATACTCTTGGTAAAGCGCTAGCTGATACCAAGGTTGAGGTCTGGGAGGCAGATTCCACAGGCTTGTACGATGTGCAGTACAAAGACAGACAGAGGCCAGACGGGCGGGGAGTGCTCCATACTGACGCCCAGGGTGTGTTTTGGTTCAAGGCCGTTCAGCCGGTGCCATATCCAGTGCCTGACGACGGGCCGGTAGGGAAGCTGTTGGCCATACTGGGACGCCATCAATGGAGGCCATCACACATGCATTTCATTCTAGCCAAGCAGGGTTATGAGACTTTGGTCACGTATGTTTATACTTCAACACTCTTGATTTCAAACGTTTGACCGATCGGAATCTGACATGGTGATATAGAATGCTGTACCCCCGCGGTGACCCGTATTTGACATCTGACTCAGTATTCGGGGTCAAGAGCTCCTTGATGGTTGACTATGGTTCTGTCAACGAGGAAATTGCAAAGAAGTATGATGTCCCGGTTGGCACCGCCTTGATGACCTATGATTTTGTGCTGGCATCAGAGCAGGAGGCGAGGGAGACGCGGGATCGTAATTCCGTCGATGCGCTGAAGAAGTTGGGTCGAAACGTGAAGATCGTTGATGGCTTGCCTGTCCCTGACGTTGATTAATCGTTACTTCGTCAAGAGAGATAGATATACAATTCAATCGTTATCTGCCGAAGTTTTGAGAAAAAAGGGGAGGGAGTAATAATGAACTGGGAATAAGGAAGAACCGACACGCCACATTTCATTAATTTATAACAAGCTGCATTTATCGAGTGAGTATCAGAATCGTCGGCCCAGGGAGGAAAAAGAAGAAGAGGGTACAGAGAGGCCAGGCCAGCTTTTAGAACAACAAAAACAAGACATAAGACAGCGTGAATCCTTCCCTCCTGTCCTCCTGCCCATAACCCAATTCTTCTCCTACTCGATGGATGGTATTTAGCTGCTAGTCAGTTGGATCGACTGGTGTGAATGTCATGAACCAACGTAACGTAACACCTTTATTTTCTTCTTTTTTTTTTTTTAAATGGGTACTTTGTCCGATTTCCGACTCTTTTCTCGTCTATGCGGCAGTAATGGCTTGGCGGGTTCGGATACCACGTTGTCTCGACGAGAGTCTGGAGGTAGATACAGCGGTGCTCTTCTGGACAACTTCCTCGCCTTCAGTCAGGATCATCTCAACGTGGCATGGGCAGGACATGTATGGGTTGATCTATGACATGTTAGCGGTTTCACCGGCAGGCATTGTTATAAGCAACTAAAATACGTACACGACCGTGGGCACGGTAGGTTCGTCGTCTCTGCTTGGGTGCCTGGTTAACCTGGATGTGCTTGACGATGAGGTTTCCGGTGTCGAGTCCCTTGGTGTCGGCATTGGCCTCGGCGTTCTTAAGCAGGGAGAGGAGGAACTGTGCGGACTTGACGGGCCAGCGAGCCCTGCTAACACCGGATTGCTTGCCTACCAGGATATTCATCGTCAGCCCACCGCACCTACACACCTATCAACTGTCCATCTCCCGCATCTGTTCAAATCTCCATCCCCTCACTTCAATTCCATATCTTCCAGGTTTCTCCGGTACGGCGCGCAAGCAAGAATATCCCCTTTCCAACCCCCCCTCCTCCCCCCTTATCCAAACAATCGAAAGGGTTTCACTTACCCTGAGCACATCGTCCGGTACCGCCGGCATATCGTCGCATGGGAACAGCCTCCTTGTGTCCAATCACATTCTCGAGGAAAGTCACAGCACGCTGCAACTTGAGTCCGTTGATGGCCTGAGCAGTCTCACGGGTGTTCTTGAAGCTGGTTCGAAGATAGGAGCCGCGAGCGCTGGCGCTCTTTGCGCTGGACGCGGGCTGGATAGCGTAACGGACCTATATAGAAAGACAACATCGATAATCCATCAGCCCACGGTCTTTTCTCACGTCGCACATCCCGCGGGATTGATTCTGCAGTAGGGAACGGTGCTCATCCGGCAGACATACCATCTTGACGAAGGGCGGTTGGAGGGCGAACGGTGGTTGTTGATGGTCCCGTTTGGTTTGTCGTTGATTCTTCTTTTTTTCCCTTCACTTTTCGAACTTCTTGGGTGAAAGCGGTAAGCGAGCTTAGTCATACTTCTTCTGCCATCGAAAGCCCTAATTCTTCCCCTTTAGGACTAGTCACTTTTCCAGCTGAATCTTAGTCATCATGTGTCTTAGTCATATTTTAGTAATTTATGTGATTATGTCATATTATTACATAATTTGGATGTATAAAAAGTTCAGCAAAACAAAAAAAGAAAAACCAAGCATCAAACGACTGGAGAAAAGACAACATTGGACAAATCATTGTAGAAAATCCATTAAGTATTATCCGTGATGGGCATTTAAGTACAAACAACATCTGCTAACGTTCACTGAAGCCACCTTGCCCTCACTGTCGCTGGACTACCAATCTGTATCGTTCTATTATTCATGACCGAACCGTGCCAAGCTCAAAAGAAAAGGAACCCCTTTGCTTTTCACGAGAATTGGAAGGAAAAGAAAAGAAAACCCAAGGCCGCGTTCCTATTTCATTCCCCGGGCTAGATGTGTCCGTGGAATACGTGTCCATTGTGACCGTTACGCCCGTGCTGTCGTCCGTTGGTGCCGTTACCATGGAGGGCATTCGAGTTGGCCTGGCTCTTCCATGCATCTCGTTGCTCCGGAATTGGTGTGATCAATTTCCCCGATTGGAGACACGATCGCAAATTTTCGAGGACCAGCATTTCCATTTCCTTCTGGGTCTCGTAGGTAGCCGTTCCGATATGTGGAAGCAGCATCACCTTGGGGTTCCCCAGCAGCTCTGGTTCGATAGACGGCTCGTTCTCGTATACATCGAGACCAGCAGAACTCACCTGCATTCATGAACCTATCTGTTAGCAAGGTTTTTTAAGTTCGTCACAGATTTTAAGACTAGCTGCTTCGCAACCATTCTTCTTCTTCTTTTTTCCCTGGGTTTCCAACCTGGGGTTTCCTTACCTTTCCAGATTTCAATGCAGAGACTAGCGCTTTTTCGTCAATCAGTGCCCCTCGAGCGGTGTTCACAATCACCGCTCCATCCTTCATCTTTGCAAATTCCCGATGGGAGATGATGTGGCGGGTTGATGCATTGAGAGAGAGATTGAGGCTGAGCACGTCAGATTGGGCCAGCAGCTGGTCGAATGAGACGTAGGATGCTCCTTCTTCCAAAGCTGGAGAAAGGCGGTTCCGGTTGTGGTAGATAACTCTCATTCCAAATACCTTTGCTCGGCGTGCTACCTCCTATGTATTGCAAAACAGACCATCCTCGTCAGTTGATCCTTGAACTGAGATGTTTAACTTCTAGCCAGGAGCTGAAGAGAGAAAAAAAAAGAGAACACATACCCTGCCGATGCCGCCCATTCCTAAAATACCAAGGACCTTCATCTGGGGATCATGGCCTAGTTTGGTCTTCCCCTGCCATTGGCCTAGAAAGGTATTGTCAAACCGCCTGGCCATGGTGTGCAGATAATGTGGCCCACATTACTTACCAGCTCGGATAGCGGATATCGGAACATATGCCTGTCTCAGAGCGCCAAGCATCAAGAAGATTGTGATATCTGCAGTTGCATTGTTTACTGCAATGGGTGTGCTCGACACGCGGATTCCTGTGCACCGGTTAGCCGGAGTGTCCGACAAGCACAGGCCTAACCCATGCAGCCACTGATGGAGACAGTTAAAGACAGATGTAGGAGCCTCAACTAACCTTTCTCCGTACAGGCTGTGGTATCAATATTGTCATAGCCGGCTCCATTATGGCAAATATACGTCAATGACTTGGGAAGAGCCTTTACAAGCTCTTCATCAAAGGGGCCAGTAATCTGCACAAGGCAATATTAGTATCGAGTTAAAGAGAGAGGGAGAGAGAAGCAGTGATCATGTTAGATCAATCTTGCATTGGCTCCCCTTGTCTCGTTATGGAGCAAACACGCGAGGGACCACCCAAAACAAGGGAAAGGAGCATGCAGGAGATACACACAGCAGTCGACACATTAGACCGATAGACCGCTACCACATCATCGTATTTGCCGTTCTTACAGTTCGCCAGGAACTCCTGTCTAGTTCCGGTTGGAAATTCCTGAGTTGGAGTCAGTTTTCTCGCCGTCCACATCGACCATTTCAGGGTGCTTCAAACAGACCTTGAGGGTTGCAAACTGTGCAAAGCTCTCCCATTCCTTTCTACAATGCGCGATACCTCCGATAAGCAGTATAGAACAAGCTGACTGCATGGTCCTAGCCTGAGAAGACAGGAAATATAGCAACCCCCCTAAAAAAAAAAAAGAGGCCTCAGAAAAGAGGCGAGCTCAGAAGGTGAAAAACTGGAGCAAGATGATGGATGATGGAAGCGCTGAAAGTGAGATCGAATGACTAAATATGGAAGGCTAATGCAAGCCAGGGCACGTTAGCAGAGAGAAAAGGAAAGCTGAACCCGCTGCGAGATTATGGAGGCCCGGAGGTATGGGGAGAGTGTCTTCGACAAGGACGAGGGTATTTGGAGCCAGGGAGTGTGGCACTAGATCGCAATTCGCGGAGATTTATATGCACATGCAGAGGCCGCCAAAGGGGGAATGTTTCTCTAGACACCTATCACCCGCAGCAAGTGAAGAAGATTATGAATGGCAGCTGTTGAAGTGACTCTGTAGATGTACAAAGCAGATGTAAAAAGTGGCCCAGAAGGGAGGAGACAGTATCAAGTAGAGTGAAAGAAGAAGAGAAACGACTCGCCTTCTTCCTCCCTTTTTATCTTCCTCCTTTGCCTTCGGACGTTTCCGTCTCCTGCGTTTTCCTTGAAGCGGGAATTTTTATATCTTTGCCTCCCTCGGGTTTGGTTGACTCCCTTTTCTTTTTCACAAGAACTTCCTATCCTCTCGACTTCCCCCTCGACCCAGAAGAAGGGGAATAAGAGTCCATGGCCATCTATTTAAACCCACGAGAGCATCCCTGGTAGCCGAGAGCCGCATGGAGCGCAGCGGGGAGAGAAAAAAGGGGGACAAGGAGATAGAAGGCCGAATGCTTCCTCCACCTTCACACACACACCCCTAGAGAGCGCGGGATAGAAACTCCAGCTCGGGCGGGATGATGCGGTTAATGCTCCCCTTCCAATTATAACGCCAGAAGACGATACCAGGGCAAACGAGCGGGTCTCCAGTTTTTATATTTATTTTTTTGGTCACCGTTGGGAGTGTAGCACGGCGAGCCAGGCTGGAGCCTTTGCAACCCATAGCTATACAAGATATATACGAACACGCAAGAAACGCTCTCCAGCTTCTCGATGCATACGGACTTGTCTTACCATCAGCTGGAAAAGAGGGGGAAGGACGCGCTGGACTCGATCTGTGCAGTCAGCTGGGTTGGCGGCCGTCCTTGTTTGATATTGAAGAGACCATGGAAGGCCATCGGCTATACTCCGTGTGCTATTGATGAATATATACGGACAGCCTCTTACAGCAGATAGAACGAATGCAACCATGCAACCTGGGATACACTTACCATGCTGTGAGTGTGGCCATCTATGGACGAAAGGGACGAGACGGCGTCCCATGCCAGAACGCGTATGCTCCGTATACGACAAATCTATATTCCTAGACCGACCTGGATGGGCTCGGGTCTCGATCTCGCCTCTTCTTGCTTTTTTAATTCGGTTGGCCTCTTGATCGGGAGTTGCATATTGACGCCGTCTGTTGCACAGCGTCCCACGCCTGGAGGGAGTGACTTTTTGCCCCATGCGGAAAATCAGCCGGTCGAGGAGGACTGACCGCCGTCCAGAGACCAGATTCACTGGATTACTTTGCCGGATATCGATAACTCTGTCGGCAACGGACCATAACTACTCACATCATTCGCTAAAGACACTTGGTGAATTTGCCCTGACCCGGCTAGGAGACCCGATATGCAAGGTTCCCCCCTGGGACATCATGGGATAGGATGGGATGGAGCAAGTTTGCTTGAGCTATTTTATGCTGCCCGCTTGCTAGGAGGGGGCGAGAGTTCGGCGATTGATATAAAAAGTCGGTATACACTATGTGTGCATGCATACATATAACCACTAGATATACATAGTATGTATATACATTCTATCCAACGGCTGGCCAGGGGTAATCCCTGCCCTTAATAATCTCTCACAAAGGACAGACAAGGACGTTTCTTTTACCAACAAACCAGATCCTTGGTCCTGGAGAAGTGGGAGAATTTATCTTACTATGTACATAGTACGATCCGCCGGTTCCTCCGCCGCCCCCAGACCAGACCAGACAAGACTGAACCACCGCCCGCCAGAGACAGTGATGGAGTCCATCTCGCAGCCCAGGGCTCTCGTGCTCCATGGCGCTCAGGATCTTCGGCTAGTCCGTAATACCAGTTCATTTAAAACCCTGACCGCCAAGTGTGCTTGCCTCCATCTTTTTCGTTTTCTAACATTGCCTCCTTGGTTAAAAGGAAACCCGACCAATAGCTCCCCCAGCAGCAGACGAAGTCCAAGTCATAGTGCGAGCCACCGGCCTTTGCGGTTCAGACCTGCACTACTATCACCATGGAAGGAATGGGAACTTCATCCTCCGCCAGCCATTAGTTCTCGGACATGAATCTATCGGTGAGGTGGTTGCCGTTGGGCCGCCATCTGCATCTGCTTCATCACCATCTTCGCCCTCCTCAGCCCACAGCTTCAGGATAGGAGACCGTGTGGCCCTCGAAGTCGGCCTGCCGTGTCGAAAGTGTCTTAACTGTCGTCTAGACCGGTACAACATCTGCCGCTCCCTGAGATTCCGCAGCTCGGCTGCAGTGTTTCCTCATGTCGATGGAACGCTGATGGATGCCACTAACCATCCGGCCGCGATGTGCCATAAGCTGCCTCCCTCCATCTCGGATGTGCAGGGCGCTCTGCTAGAGCCCCTCGCCGTTTGTCTACATGCGATTAATCGCTCTAACCCACCAACGGTAGAGGACGTAGCACTTGCTAAGTCCGTCGCGGCTGCGAATGGTGGCGCCGCCGCAGACGGCGAAACCGCGGCGTTGGTTTTCGGGGCTGGCGCCATTGGCCTGCTCCTCACATCAGCCCTGGCTATCTCGCAGCATTTCACAACCATCGTGGTGGCAGATATTAATCCGGCGAGACTGGAGATCGCCTCGTCGCTCCCCTTTTCCTGCATAAGAACATTCGTTCTTGATTGTCCTCGCAGTACATCTGCGCCACGCCTGCAGAGGAAGAAGACAAGGCTGCAAAGGATCTGGCGGCAGGTATACTGCAGTCCTTCGGCTTCGGCCATGGCTTCTCCCGCGTGTTCGACTGTACGGGCGTCCCCGGCTGCGTACGAGCAGGCATCTATGCCTCCTCGGCTGGTGGCGCGGTGGTACAGATCGGTATGGGCGGTCCAAGTCTTCCAACCATCCCGCTGTCTGCCTCGGCGCTGCGAGAAGTCGATTTGGTTGGCGTCTTTCGCTATGATGGTCGCTGCTATCCGGCTGCCATAGAGATGGCTTCTTCCCACGTTTTTGACAAGGTGGCAGAGAAGGTCGCTACGCATACCATTGAGCTAGGAGAGGAAGACGGACAGAAGGCGTTCAGACTGGCTGCTTCTGATAGAGACGATGATGGTAGGACAGTAGTCAAGGTCGTAGTCTTGAGTGGGAAGATGGGATAGTAGCCCTTGACTTGATATAATAGTACACAACCAAGGCATTACCCCCCATACATCTAGCATAATATGGAGGCTCTAAATCACACAGTAGAAATACAGAACAAGGACTATTATAGATACCGCACAGGTACAAGATGGGGGAACAGAAAAATAAACAGAAAAAGCACACGAAAAGCACACGAGAAGGGAGACGGAATGCAGAGGGATGCTACTTGAGCCCTCCGGCTAGGAGGATGCTCTGTCCAGTCAAGTAACCGGTCGTCACACACATTTCTACGACGTTGGCAACCTCATCTGGAGTACCGAGTCGGCCCAACGGAATAGTGCCAGCGACCTCTGGGATTGCACGAGCATCAGGGATCATTCCGGTCTCCCCAATCATGGCTGGAGCGACGTCGTTCACGCTGATATTGAACTCTGCCAGGCGAGTTGCCAGGTTCTTCATCATGCCGGTCATGCCTCCTTTTGAAGCTGCGTAATCTATCACATCACAGCATAGTCAGTAAACGAGATTTACTGTAATAAAAGAAGGGGTGGGAGCGGGAGGGTTAACGTACGACACCCATTGACGCCTCCTCCATGGGCTGAAATGGAGGACATGAACACGATCCTCCCCCATCGCTGCGCCTTCATATGCTCAACCACGCCCTTGACAAGGATGAAAGAGGCCCGCAGGTTCACACCGATAGTACGGTCAAATTCTTCCAACGAGATGTCCCATATCTGCGGTATCTTCACAACGTATCCTGCATTGGAGACTAAGATATCGGGTAAGCGGCCGTTATGCTCCGCCTGGATTTCGGCGAATAACCTATCGATTTGCTCGGACTGGCCGACTTCAACTTGGTGGATCGATATGTGGAGATTGGTCGACGGTAGGGATTCCTTGATATCCTTGGTAGTAGCCTTCATCCCATCCGCATTCTTGGAGTAGGTTAATGCCAGGTGGACATGCCTAGTGGCGAGTCTGCGAGCACAGGCTGCACCGATACTGATCGTACTCCATCAATATCCAGCGAATAGTAGCGAAAAGAGACCGACTTACCCGCTCGAGGCGCCGGTGACCAGTGCAAGGCGTCCTTCAACATTGTTCAACGTAGCCATCTTGTCGTTGTCGTCTCGTCTCACCTTGTTGCAAGCGTAACCAACAGAGGGACGAGGGTTCTATTTTGATTGATTGATATCGATATATATGCAATGCGGGCGTGTGCGGGATAACAGGGATGATCGGTTAAAACTCCGGCTAAAACTCCAGCTCTTCCAAACTGGTCCCCGCGTGAGGAGAAGGAAGGAGATAAAAAAACTCCGGCTTTTCTTGCGTGAAACAGACGGCCGATCGTGCCAGAAGAAAAGAACATTCAAAGAGTATATAGGGTAAAACATTTGGATAAACACCATTCACGGGAGATAAGGCTGTACGGGAAGAGGGATCTTCGACAATTGGTCGCACTCGAGGGAAATGAGTAAAAGTGGTCGACCAGTGGACAGGGCACTAAAAGAGAAGCGCATCGCTCACATTCAACCAACTCGGTGGCCAAACCTGCGATCCATGATCATGATTCTCAGCTTGATACCCCGTGTCTAGGCCTTGAAAGGAGTCTAACCCCAGTATAGTAGGAGCCGTAACTGCGTCGCCGGAGACAAAGTCGCCGACAGCCTCAAGATCGAGCCAGGAAAAGTCGTTGGCAGGACTGAACTGCACATAAGTTGGTTCCGGGAGACAGGTTGTCGGGAGTTCATGCATGCCGTTGGATGGCTGAGGCCCATGCATGGCATTGATGCTGCTGTTGTTGTTTACGGGAGCGGTGTTGGTGTTGGCAAAGATGTTATTGGTGCTACTGTTGTTGTTATTGTTGCTGGTGATATTGCTGCTGCCGGTGATGCCGTTCGTGGTGATTGGAACAGGGTTGGTGGAGTGTGAGCTCTTTGGCTTCCAGAGCAGTTCTAAGAGACGGGCGTAACGATAGCCAACATCGTCGGGGCTCGCACTGGCTCTGCGTAGCCTGTCTATCGTTTCATCGATCATTTTGCGTATAGTTATTTCTTCCGCCTGGTTTATGACACCGAATGAACGTGCCTAGTGTGTAGTATTATTAGTAGTCTGAAGTAGGGGGAAAACAACAACAGAAAGACATCCAACCTTGTATAAAAATACTGCAGCATAGATGCTATATCTATATGGATGAGGGCGATTAGCTTCTATATCATCTTTGATTATCGAGGGGCGAAGACTTACAGATAGAATCTCAAGGGCATGAAATGTAGACGTCTCTCTGGGTCAACATAATTGGTTAATATGGTAAGATATGACTTGGCCGCCTCCACTGATTCATAAATGAACCGAGAATCTTGCATGGAAGCTACATTGCTGAATGCAGCCCGTAGATGATCTCGCTGGCTCACAGAGTCACTCTTTGGCTTGTGTAGGGCCTGAGAAATTGCGGCCTGGAAGGCAAAGGCGTTGGTGTACAGCTTTAGATACTCATACGACATCTGAAGCATCACATTGAGATGTCCAGAACCTACATCCAAATGATCAGCATGTGGCACATCTTGGAAGAAGAAGAAGAAAGGGGGGGAATACGGAAAAGACTTACACTGCATCTTGCCCCATAGGCGGTACCATCTCGAAATGGCGACTCGGAAATCGTCGATATACTTGACATAATCACCCATGAGCATCATATTCCTGCTCGTACGCATGCCAGAATAGAGGACATCGTGAACGTTCCCATACAGCTGTGTCAGGTCGAGAATGGCCTGGAAGATCTTCGAGTAATCCTCATCGTGCGGGCTCTGGGGCTGCAGTGACGGGAAATCATGGCTGACAAGGCCGGTCATGGGCCCGGGGCCTCGAGACCAAAACGCGCGTCCGATACGCACCGATATCAGTCTGTCTGAGACGTAGCAGCTTGCCCAGGCCAGCCGTTTGCGGTTGTCAGTCTGAGTGTCGCCCGTCGAGGTATCGTTGCGGAAGGACGTCTTGTCCAGGCCGAGAAAGTAGCCTGACCGCAGAGCGATACCGACATGCATCCAGGCAGCACGATCCTCCTCGCCGCGGCCGACGGGCTCGATTGACGGACGGAGGCCCTGGGGCTCCCATTCAGCCAGTATCAGGAGTGCTTCTACCGCCTCGACGTCGCAGTCTGCGCCCGCGGCCACGCCCGAGATCAGCTCGAGCATATACTTTGAGCATCCCTCGTGGACGTGAGGCATGCTGGTGAGATCCTTGGAGGCCACGGTGAGCACTGCGGTGAGGAGATGCTTCTCCTTCATGGCGAACTCGTCGAGGGAGGCTGGGTCGAAGTACTTGCGCGGCACCAGAGGGAAATAGCAGTGGTAGTTATCCGCATAGCGGGTGAGGAGCTGCATGACCAGGCCTCGAGTCAGCACTTCGTTCTCGACCAGACGGTAGGCGAAGATCCCCTTCTTTGCACCGTGTCCGTTGGCGCTCGCCGTGCCATCGCCTCCGTCCTCGACCTTGGGCGCATCTGTGCCTCGCTTGGCCACGTTGGTCAGCCGCTGCCAGGCGTCAGAGGGATTCCGGGGCACGCCAGACCCGATTGCGCTCTCGCTGGTTGAGTCGTCGTCGTCGTCGTCTTCTATCGAGGTACCGCGGTGCTCCTCCGACGGGCCGTAGCGGTCATGGTCGTTGTAAGGGGATATGTATCTGCTGTGGTTGTAATTCTCCGTACTCTGCGGGCTGATGGACGTCTCCAGCGGCCTGGCTGGCTGTGGCACCGCGCTGGACGAGCCCAATGCGCCGGCAGAGGCCTTGATGGTATTTCTGATTCTCTTCCCGCCGCGGTTGGAGGTCCCCAGCTCGCATTTGAGGTTCTCGTTGTGGCATCGCTTGCAGGGAGGCTGTCCTGGACGGCCGTTGCTGTCTCTAGACGGCGTTAGACACCAGCCGTAGAGGACGCAGTAGAGGCAGAAGAAGACACTTACAGATCGCATTTGGACTTGCGACGGCGACAGTTGTAGCAGGCTCTCGATACGCGCTTCATCTGGCCGTTCGACGTTCTCTTCAGCTTTGGGCTGCTTGTGCCGTTTTTGTACTCTGATTCTTCCATCGCTGATGCTGCTTCGACTTTCTTCTTCAACTTTTTATCTTCTTTCAACTTTTGTCTTTCTCAGCCGTTCTCTTCTCTTCTTATAATTCTCTTCTTCTCCTCTTATGTCGTTGGTTTCCGCGTCGCAGACCCTGGACGGCCCAGCGGACAGAACTCCGTATCAAATCTCAGGAAGCGCGGTTTGTCACCAACAAGCCACATCCATCACTCTGCTTCTAGGGCCGCTCGAGAATGCAATACCTGCTGCTGTGATCCGACTTGGCATGGCTAGGGTCAGGAATGGACATGACGGGGCCAGGACGAGGGCAGCACACAGGATGAGGCAGAGAGGAGAGAGACGGGAAGAAGGAGAAGGAGAACGAGACGAACGAGAGGAAGACGAAGAAGAAGAAAGCGATGGATGGGCGACCAGGTCAGCCTGCAGCAGGCATGGATAAGCCGAAATATTGGGCTTGTTTGATGCCCGCTTGTTCCCCACGCCGGCGGCATGTCAGGATGTGAGTGTGAGAATTGGTACAGTACAGATCTCTGCCTCCTCCTTCCCCCCCGTATGCATGATGTATACATACTTACGCATGTAACTAGCTCAGGCATGGCTTGACCAAGTGGACGGCCGGGGGGAAGGGTTGTCTGCGAATGCGACAGGTCAACTTATTCTTCGATCTTACGGGCCGTTTGCCAGTTCGCATGGGAGAGACCAGGCATGCCGTGCATGTTTGGCGGTGATACCAGCCGTATCTACAGATATATCGCTGTACCTCTGGTGTATACATATATCTCTCTCTGGTCCATGGGATGGGGGACGTCTACGTTCTACGGATACATCGAGACATCCGGATATCTAGACACTCGGACATCAACACGGACAGCCCATAATATCGTGGGAAGTATATAAGGAAGATGCTTGCTTTTTACGCTTGGCTGCCGTTTATTTGGCAATAAATCTTTGGTAGGCTTCTGATCGCTCTCCTTTTTCTCGTTGCTTTTTTGGGCGTCTTTGATCGAGTACGCTTGCGTCTCTGGACTTGATTACTCGGGGGCAATCGAACGATGGACGATACGATGCCCGATACGAGGGTAGCCCTTGAGAGGATGATGGGCCCTTTTTTTGGGGGGTAGTGAGGATGCAGTTATCCGCCAGCCAGGAACCCGTCAGTCAAGCCAGGGGACTTCTCCTTTCTTCTTATACGGAGGGATATCCAGAGTAAGCTCGGTATACGGAACATGCTCAGTGTTATACTTAACTATGGAGTCAACAGACCAACCGGATGTCGAAATCGAAGCCGAGATTTCATTCATATCTAAACTACATACCAGACAGATGGAGAACTAACCGATGGCAAACAGACTCATCGACTGCTGACAGTCCAGCCTGAACCGCAATCCTCTAACATGCCAACATGTTTTATTGCAAACAACCTCGCAGATCGGCGTGTGAGGGGTGTCCCATCGTCTAGTTCATCCGGCTATGTGCTCCGTTTACGAAATAGGACAATATGATATCTCGACAACCAAGACTCATATTCTTGCATGTTTGCCGAATGTAATCCAAAAAGTCCGCCTCAATAGCGCCGGGGCGATCGCCCGACTTTTTCAACCAAAATGCTTCCATCTTCTTTTGCCAGCACCCAATACACCAGATGCATCCTGGTCTGTTGGGCGGACCAGACGGGGTTTAGACGTTTTAACTTATGTGCTCTCCCGTACATAGTGCCGCCGCCGCCGCCTGGGAAGGGAGGATGGATTTCATACTTTTACTCTTCATGCACGCACGGCTGCGGTCGCGATATTTTATCGACTTACTCCATGCGGAACGGTGGCCTGGTAGCCGGTAACTATATATACACTATACGTGTATACATATGTACATACAAGGGTTCTTTCTACATATTGTATTATAGGCCTAGACAAGCAACCTTAAGCGGCTTCACCGAATCAAGGCTCGTCTAGTTGTGATAAGGTGATAGGACGTCGCTGGCTCCGGGGTTGTCTGCGTCTAGCGACTGTCACGCCCAGGTCACCATTACGAGAAGTTAACTTGTAACTGCTATGTACAGCGAATGGCCTGCAGAGCGTCTGAACGAACCACCATAATATTACCAAACAGGAACTTCAGGAGAGAAAAGAACTCCAGGTGGCTGATCGTGCGACTCGGGCCTCGATTCTTTATCCAGAGAAGACAGCAGGACAAACACTGCATTGTTGTATATCATCGGGGGGTCAGCCGCAGGGCTAAAAACATGCCCTCGCATGCCGGATGAGAATATGATTCTCAACTCTTTATCATTAAATTCTTTGACACATTCATTCACCTTGCTGCTGTGCAATCTGATCGTCCATCTACAGACCACACCCTGTGTCTCGATTCATAGCTTGCATGGAGACATGCAAGGCCGCGGCCTCTTCTTGCAGATACATCCGTACCGTGGCCCGTAATGCTGCCGTTTCTTTCTTGTACCATTGCCATCTTAGCCTTGGTATGACAGATCAGCAGGCTTCGCCCTGGTGAAAGGGGAGAGGGGAAGTCGGGGAAGAAAGCTGGAGAGAAGAGCTGGACGACTACCTGCAGGTTCTCCATATACGCATTGTTCCTTTGAACGGGAGATGGCATCAACATACATGGATAGGCATGTTATGCGAGGTAGCAGGCCAACGCCGTAGGCTTCCGTTCCGCATATTATGGTCGATGCCAATAGGTTCCCTGGCGGCCTCTGTATTCACCAACGTTGGGTGTTCTCAGCTTCTATCAACCTCCTCCTGCTGTGCTCACGCTGTATGACTAGAAGGCGGTTCCCAAGCGATGTGCCACCGGTTAACTCATCAGTGAAACCAACATCCGGAACCCCGCCGTGCATCTATCCACCTTTCCTGGATCAAGGTCAACATGAGTGTTAGACGTACTGGACGTTGCTAGTCTTGGGGTATCGTCTCTGTATAGCATAGTTGGGATACTCCAACGGCACAACCACCACCAACAGCATGTCAACACCATCAACTGCCCTTCTATCGCCTCCTGCGGATCTTCTTCATCTACCCCTTCGTCTTCTTCGATCCATCCTTTTATATCTTCAGGGATGACTAAGGATGACATAAGGTTGTTCCCGCGCCTAAAGAGGAAACTCGGTAAAGTCTCCGATATATAAAGAAGAAGATGAGAAAGGCAAACAACAGACGAACAAACAGACAAAAGCTGGAGATAATATAAACAATAGCTACTAGACAGTGGACAATGGCGACTGCAAACGCACTCTCGCTCTTCTCGCTGCAGGGCAAGACTGCCTTGGTGACCGGGGGATCCAGGGGTATCGGGCGAGCGATGGCAGTTGGCCTCGCAGAAGCGGGTGCAGACATCATACTTGTTCAAGTGCGTCACTCCTATCATCTATGGAAGTGTCAATCTGTTGGTGTGACGGTGGTTGACGGTCGGTAGAGAGACGCCAGTAATACGCAGACACGAGACGAAATACTGCAAAGGACAGAGGGCAAATCCAAAGTGACCATCCATGCTGCTGAGTTGTCCGACCGGGCTGCGGTGAAGGAGATAGTCTCCAGCGTGACCAGGGATGGCACGGCGGTTAATATCCTGCTGAATTGTGCCGGCATCCAACGGCGACATCCGAGCGAGGCATTTCCCGACCAAGACTGGGACGAGGTAAGTTCACGTATATAAATTATGAAAAATATAATTATTTGAATTTCTGACTGGGGAAAGGTCCTACAAGTAAATCTGTCGGCTGTGTTTACTCTGTGCCGCGAGTTTGGCGCCTATCTGCTCGCCCGTGGTGCACCCGGATCGATCATCAACATAGGCTCTCTGCTCTCGTACCAAGGGGGCATCACCGTCCCCGCCTACGCAGCATCCAAGGGGGGCATCGCCCAACTCACCAAGGCGCTGTCGAACGAGTGGGCGGCCAAGGGAGTCCGGGTCAACGCCATTGCGCCAGGATACATCGACACGGACATGAACACTGCACTGGTCCAGGATCCAGTACGGAGTGAGTCGATTTCGGCTAGGATTCCGGCCGGTAGGTGGGGGAAACCGGAAGATTTCAAGGGCATCGCTGTGTTCCTCGCGAGTGAAGCCAGTGCCTATGTCTCGGGTGAGATGGTCAATGTCGACGGTGGTTGGATGGCCAGGTAGCAGGCATGAGTTCCATCATGATATTCTCTACTCTCTATATGTCGAGATATGGGCTCCGTATCAGATTTCTACGCTGTTGGATATAAGGACTGATCATTTTCTTCGGCTCTCTACGAAGGTAACTTCGCTCTATAGATATAAATAAAGATTTATGGAGTTAACTAGTCGACCCCTGACCAGCGCTTCGATGTTTCATGGACTCTTGTCCTGGGCCTCTCTCGTCCAACCAGGCCATGTCCATCCTCAGGGGCTGAAGCTCATCGCCACTGAACAAAACAATCTTCACCGTAGACTTTTCTACTCGCAGTGTTTCCATCTTTGAGATCTATAATCACTCGACCAGTGATATCGCCTCTGGTCCCCTACATCCTACCGCCGTTTCAGCCACTGCCCTTGAGGCCACCACAGAAGAGCCAGAACTGTTTCTTCACGCCATGTTCAGCATGCCCAGTGCCGCCCGCTGTGGGTTTCGTTCAGCGCCCAAGTGGATACAGCGCATCTTGGGATGATGCCATGTCTTCCAACCACCTGCCCGGACACTCTCTTGTCTCTGGCACTGACTCGCCGCTGATGTTGCTCTGGACGGCCAAGGTTGAATGAAGTTTTATATCCTTCGACCGAACTGCTTTACATATTACGATGGGCCTTTCTCCCCTTTTTTTTTCTTCTTCCTGTGCGACAACCCACGCTGGAGTGATCTCTCTTCTTCTTTTTTAACATATGAGCTGGTCTCTGGACAAGATATCTCTTGCCACATTCCTTCTTTTGCCTGGCTTGTCAAGCCGTTGGTCAATGGAGATTTTCTATTGTTGACCGTTCATTCATTCATTCTGCTGGCCAGGACAGGACAGACTCACTGCTGAGCAGTCAGTAGGTTAACTTCCTTTATCTTTACCTTCATCGCCATCTTCACCTTTCTAAAGGCTGCGGCAAGTTGCTGATATCATAGATAGGAATCACTCTCTTTACCCTCTGGACGGCTCCTCCAGACAGTCCTTCAGCCAACTTGAACATTCTTTCATTCGTAGAGATATCTTTCTCGCACCAAAGACTCCAAAGGAGGTAGAAAGGGAGAGAGAAGAGAAGCTGCTCTTTTCTCCTCTCCTCTTTGGCACCGACACACTCATTTAGAAGAAGAAAAAGACCCCTGAGACTCTCTTTATACTTGGACTTGACCTCAACAAGCCCAAACATGGAGATGGACATCTATGCCCGGGAGCTGGCTGCTCCCCATTCGCAGAACACGACTTACGTATCCCCTTATACTCGGGGCCTTCTCGGTGTCAGAGTCAGTCTTGATCATCTCGTCACCGTGCTGCTCGGTGGCTCTATCGGGATAGCATGTTTGATCATCCTCATCGTCCGCTTCACCCAGATGTCCCATGCGTATCTACGACAGGTCACCTCCGCCACCGGAAACAACAACCAGCAACGCTTCTGGGGTGCTGAGCAGTCGACGCTATGGTCAGATATCAAGAAACACGTCCTCTATGCTCCTCTAGGAAGCAAACGACATAACCGCGAGTTCAAGCTCTCTGAGGCCGTCAACGTCGGCACCTTGCCATCCAGATTCCACTCAGTGCTGCTGATATGCTACCTCCTCAGCCAAATCGCCTACTGCTCGGTCCTCGATTATCGTGCCAACAACAAAGCCGCGCTGGTCGCTGAGCTTCGAGGCCGATCGGGGAATTTGGCCCTCTTGAACATGATCCCCCTGTTTATTCTGGCCGGTAGGAACAACCCGCTCATCCCATTGCTGCGTGTTTCCTTTGATACGTACAATCTCATTCATCGATGGCTCGGTCGGATCGTGATAATCGAGTCTGTTGTGCATACTATCGCCTGGATGGTCAACGCAGTGGGAGCGGATGGATATACAAAGATGTGGCACAGTATCTGGCATGAGCCCTTTTACACATGGGGCTTCGCTGCAACTACGGGCATGGTCTTCATCCTCGTACAGTCCCCGTCCCCTGTGAGACATGCCTTCTATGAAACTTTCCTCCATCTGCACCAAATCGGCGCCATCGTCATCGTCTTGGGCATCTATTTCCACCTGGATATTGACAGCCTCCCACAGCTGCCATGGATTCAATTTATTATCGGTATCTGGGGGTTCGAGCGTGCCGCACGATTCGGTCGGATCCTCCGCCTCAACATCTCTCGCCGCAACGGACTTACCCGCGTGGTCGTCAAGGCGCTGCCCGGGGAGGCCAGCAGAGTCACCTTCTACCTACCCCGGACTACCAAGATCTCACCCGGCAGCCACGTCTACGCCTATCTCCCACGCGTCTCCCTATGGATGTCCCACCCTTTCTCCGTGGCATGGGCCGAACAGGGCTCCAGCTCGCTGCCCAAGTCTCCCAAGACGGACAAGTTCAGCGACTCCTCCAAGGCCGCCACTCTTGCTCGGAAACCATCCACAATGTCATCATCTACCGCCCACTCAGCTGACCTCGAAAAAGGCCATGGCCGGAATGCTGAACTCGCCACAGACGGCTCCCAGCCAACATGTGTCTCCCTCATCATGGCCGCGCGTACAGGCATGACCCGCAAACTGTACAATGCCGCGCTGGCCTCGCCAAACCTCACACTAGAGACAACTGGCTTCATCGAGGGACCCTATTCCTCCCACCCTTCTTCGTTTGGTAGCTATGGCACCGTAGTCCTCTTCTCTGGTGGTGCAGGAATTACCCATCATCTGATGCATGTTCGCGACCTACTCGCTGCCGCCGACGCAGGCACCATAGCCACACGTCGTATATACCTTATCTGGTCCGTTCGTACCACTGAGCATCTCGCCTGGGTCCGTGGATTCATGGACTCGATACTACATATGCCCAACCGCCGGGACGTCTTGGTAACCAAATTATTCGTCAGCAAACCCAGAAGCCAACGTGAAATCCAGAGCCCGAGCACCACACTCCAAATGTTCCCTGGTCGGTGTCGGCCCGACGTGGTACTTGAGGAGGTGCTGGCCGATCCGGTTGGAGCTACTGGTGTAAGCGTCTGTGGCCCCGGGGCCTTTGCAGACGAGGTTCGTTCCAGTGTAAGAAAGCGGATTGGCAAGGGCCAAGTTATCGATTTTGTCGAAGAGGCGTTTACTTGGTGATATGAAAAGTCTCCGGTCCTTTTGCCCAGGTGTTTCACTAGTGGGAGTTTGCAAGTTTTTCGCTTCTTGTATTTAGCCCTTTTATGATGATATCCCTTTTATCAGATCCAGATGTTTTTATACGTTGGATAACGCCCTAGATGATGTGCAATGACTTCAAATATCAAGTTTCAGGAATACTCCTCCGCCCAAGATTAAGAGGAATAGCTACCCGAGAAAGCTATAGATATATGTCCAATGTGGTAAAAAAGACCAATTTATTTAGAATAACCAAGAACTGTATGGCTCAATTGTAGTGATACCCTGGAAGGATGCGGGTTAATGTAAAATCAACGCTATATAAACGTAATATTAATTCCAATAGGGGTAAACAGAAGGGGCAATAGGGAGCGAAACAGGGAAAATAAAAGGCAAATAGAGGTAATTAAAGGGTTGAAAGAAACAAAAGTATGCGCTTTGAACTGTCTTCATCTCCACAAATGAATGTGCCATTCTCATGTATGAGCTGAGGGATGGTTCGTTGGCTTATTTTCATGATTCGATCCAGGTGCTAAGGCTAGCGCTTCAGACGGTGTCTGCTTGGTGTTATCAAATAAGTTAAAGTCCTGGGAGTAATACCTTCCCCTCTTCGCAGATTGATTAAGCTCATCATGATCAGCAGTAGTAGCAGCATCTGTGCCATCATGTTCAACAATCCTGCTGACCCTATTTGAATCAGTTCCCGAATTAGCGTCCGTTGCGAATTTATCGGCAAACGGATTCTCGACCTGGAATTCGTTTGGATTGTATTCCCACGATATAGGTGGTGCAATAGTGGTATGGGGAAGGTGGTTCATATTGCTCGTATCGGCGTGGTGGTTACTACTATTGCTGTTAATTAACTGTGAGGTTCCATTCGCATAGGAATCGTGCGCTTCACAGCTATGCTTTGACGCCATGTTATTTGCGTAGGTTTCCGGTGGGGATACTGGAGGCGACGCAGGTGTTCTTTCGGCATTGGCGGTATGGGCAGGCGGTGTATATAGCGTTGGTTTTGTTTCCTCATTCTGAACGGGAGCTTGACTTGGTGACGTTTTAGAGAGCTTCTTGGGCATTCTGGGCATGGAGAGCCGGGGTATATATCGTTGCTTTTTTGGCTGTACCGGCTCCGGTCCAGTATCCCCAACAGGTAATGGGCCAGTTGTCTGAAGGGATGGTTGTCCACTCCTGTAGTCCGGGTTCTGGTGTTGGCCCCGATTATTGTTCTGGTTGTGGTCAGGAATGTGGTCAATTAGATACTGGCCTGGTTCAGCCAACTCCGATGGAGATTTAAAGCCAGCTTTCCTTGCTTCTAGGGCAGCACGATTGTATCTCGATAAGGCAACGGAGATCTTATCATTAGTTTCAATCAGGGTAAGCATAGTGTCTTCATCCGGCGCCGGGTTAGATGAGTTTATGTAGCCCTGCACAGATCTAGATGCAGACTGGCAACGAGTAGCGAATTCCATGAGCATATCGTTGTTGTAGAATTCCGATACGGGGGTAGACATGAGCATCTGTTGGAGTAGTTTCGCCGATTCATTGGCTTCATTGACCCGTGCAGCAAGCTCACCCGGTGGCGGAAGACCTCGAAGCCTATGCTGACGGGAAAAGTAATCTTGCCTTTGCCCAGCATGGGGGCCTGGGGCTTGGAGCGGCTATAGCGAAATCAGCGCCTATCTCAGACATGAAAGGAATGGCTGTTATCCAAAAATACCTGAGCGGGTGGTATTCCAAATGGCGGGTAACCATAGGTTTTCTCGAATTTCTCTTTCTCTCTGTTCCACATTTGGATAAGTCCGGAGAGGTTACTGTCGTCAGCTTTCGTTGTCGACAGCATTTCAAGAGTCTCGCGCAAGATCTGCGCAACATTCATGTCCCTTCCATCGCGAAGTAGGACCTTGACACACGCTGTAAACCGCGCATCAAGATTACGAGTGAAAGAGGGGCCCGGATTGTCAGCCAGGATTCGTATTAGCATGATCGCATTGTATTGGCGTTGGGGGTGCGAGGTAGCCGGTTTTGAGATGTATTTCTGAATCTGATTTGCAGCAACTTTGGCTGCTGCAGGGCTTGACTCGGCAGCCTCGACGATCGTAGGTAGTGATAAGTAGTCATTTTCCTAGGAGATGTATTAGGATGAATATATTTAAAGGCTCTTGATAGCGTACGTTTGTGTTGGAGTTTTCGCAGAACTGGATCTGTAGATATTAAGCCCGTCAGTACCTGCCTTCGCGATAAACAAATGGTAGGATGTTCAAGCTTACCACAGCCTTGAGGACTGCTACTTCAGGGGCATCGTTGGGCTGGGCAGCACCGAGGCCTCCAAGAGCTAACCATCCCATCGAATCTGTCAGTTCAACTCATCTTCGGATAGAGAAATACGCCGTGTCATGGAAGAACATACAACTATTCCGCTTGCTGGTAATAGTCCCAATAAATCGTTTCATTGTCGACAGCCTCTCACTATTTTTTTTTTTTTTCGACGGCTTCTCCAGCTACCGACCACCCATGTGTGAACAAGGCCAAAGGGGAAGGTGAATGAGGAGGAATGAAGACGGAGGAAGTGAGTCGGAAGACGGAGCCCAGCGTCAAGGGGGCCAAATACCCTAGTGCAACAAGGCCTCGCAGCAATAAGCGCAAGGATAGTCCGCTTTATTAATGTGTGTACACCTATCAACGGCAGCGTTGATGCCGCTGGTTCTGGTTACTTGCTCTCCAAGGGCTCAGGGACGGGGATCAACCCAATGTTTTGCTCATAGTGGAAAGGTCAAATCTTGAGGCTCTTCTGTACCTATACTTAGGTAAAAATATATGAAGCTTCCAACTGACATGTTTTATAACGCTCGCTAGGTACGGGTCTGGCTAGGACTAGGACCCTGGATGGTCTCTTGTTGTTGTGCTAATCCTAGGCTTCATCTCCAGAGAGTATTAACTAACGTTGGCGGCGAATAAATGGCACCATTGTTTGATCCACAACTCCGTTTGACAGTTCCGATGCTTGACATTTCGTGCGGTCCCAAAAGGTGTGCATGTGTCTTCTCAGGCGATGCGGTAGATGACGCAACATAGCGACTTTGGGTACAACGGCGAGTGACGCGGCGAAGCTGATGCAGGCATCATACTATGTATGGCAAAAAAACGTTCGTTCCATTACTCCATACACAATGCTCCATACACCCTCTTCTTCTCGTGGCGGTCTGACCTGGCCAGCCGCTCAGCCACAATGATGACAACACCGATACCTATGCAGGGAATTGGCCAACGTTGACTAGACCTTTAATCTGTCACCACTTTGAATCGCGTGGTGGCTTGATGGGCATCGATCTATCTGACTTGAAAGACTTAGGATTAGCAAGGCTGGTACACTGAAGAGTCCATCCAAAGCCGCGTAGTTGATTCCATCTCGCAGCTCTTACGCAGCTACTTCTGGTCATAAAACGTTGAGCAAAAAAATAATCCGTACCAAACAGCATATGCGCTCTTCTTTCACCCTACAAAACGTTTACACAATGAGGCTTGTAGTAATAAAGGCAAGGATGAGGTCAACTGCGTGTCGATATCAATCATAGAATGTTGAAATTGAAGTTGAAAACGAAAAAAAATAAGCTGTACGACCGTGCTTTCGTTTCCTAAAGGGGGAAGAGGTTATTCGGACTTCAGCCTTAACTTTTTGCTGAGGAGAAAACTCGAAGAGGAGAAGAAATCATTGTTAATTCACCAGAGAATATCAAAAGTCCATATACAAGTAATACTTTTTATGATACAGATAAGAGCTTTTGCCGAGATTAAACTACTAATACCTCGAAATGTCTCTTCCAAACGCCCAATTTGAGACCCAAGAATACAGAATACGCAGTCTGTTGCGCCAACTGATGCTCATAGAAAGATACGCTCCTTTCCATACTAGCCATGCAGCATATCCGGTCAATCCTCTGGGCAGAAGAGAAGCCTTACCCCTGTCCTGGCCTGTCTGGGGGAACTGCATGAGCGCTCTTGAATGGCCGAGGTACGCTATCATGCCCAGATTTCTAAAGGAGAAGCCAGGAGACCGAGACAGGCCGGTGTCGGATTCGGCTGCGTTCAGGCATTGAGCAAGCCAGATGGCCTCCTGGTTAGTAGACTGGGCCGTTGCAGGTGGTGAGTTTGATTCAAGCATACAGTTATCACCAATAGCAAACACATCCTTGAGGGTTACTGTTCGGCCATCGTTCGATTGGAGCTGGACACGAAGGTGGTCATCGACCAGGAGAGCACCTGTCTTCTCGGCTTTCTTCACCGTCCATGTCGCTGCAGACTGCGCAGACTGTGATGATACTGGGATATGGTCCATCCTCTCCAAAGTAGATGAAGCTGGAAACTCTTCTACCTTCCACAGGGCATCATTGACGAACTCGTTCATCTCGTTACCGGTGGCCCAGACACACATTGCGATGCCTTCTTCACCATCTTCCTTGGTCTTGATGGTCAGACAACCCCTCGGATCCATCTCGTGCGGACCAGGAGCGCCAGGCTCACCCCATCGAAGGCTTTCGATATGGTGGTTTGTCTTCACGTCGACCCCCTCTCGCTTCATAGTATCCATGGCATATTTAGATAAGGACTCATCAAATGTACTTAATACCGTAGGTGCAACGTCAAAGAGGGTTATACGAATCATCTTCTTCAGCTGTGGATAAACCTTTACCAAGTCTTCATGGATAAAATCGCACAGTGAAGCAGCCAGCTCGATCCCTGTCGGCCCAGCACCCACAATCGCAAAATGCAAGAGATATCTCTGCGTCGCAGGGTGTGTATTGGGCAGAACCGCCAGCTCAAAGCATTCTCTTATCCGTCTCTTCACTTTTCGTGCGTCTCCAATGTCCTTGAAGAAGAGTGCATTCTCTCTGACTCCAGGAGTGTTGAATGTCCTGCTCACACAGCCAACGGCGACCACAAGTTTGTCATAAGGGATCGTGAATCTTTCCCCAGATTCCCATCTCCTCTCTGCCCCGCCTTGTAATCCATGTCCATGTTGCTTTTCATGCTGGTGTTGTTCTACCCTTGCCGTCTCCGTGACGCCGCTTCGAACCACACTAGCTTCACATGTGACTGTCTTCTTGTTCAGGTCGACGGCTCGAGCGGCGGCCTGAACAAAGTGGACTTTGCTATAGCGATCTCGGACCGGCTCCACGATTTCAGAGAAGTCAAGCGACCCAATGGCGGCATCAGTAAGCAGAGGGGTAAAGACGAAATATGACCGAGGTGATATTACTGTGCGAGAGAATTTAGTGGCCGACAATTTGCGGGATAGAGTATATCCACCCCATCCCGAGCCCAGGATCACAACTTGCTCGGCGGTTGGGGATTCTGCTGGCCGTGCAGGAGAGCCTCCTGTCAAAGCCCCCGTCAACGTTGCAATGCACCGAACATGCTGGGATTGCATGACCTGGCTCGGCAGACGGGAAGCATATCGGAGATTAAGGCGAACAAGTCCCATCTGATAGCCTCGTTTACGAACATACAAAAAGAGATACATGGAGGGTGTTAAATGAGCAAATCTGAATGTTGACCAATATACGCCATGATTGAAAGTTGAGAGCTGCCTCAGGCCAGGTTCAAACGCTTTTGAAACCAAACAACATTAATAAAAAAAAAGTCAAAAAAAAAAAAAAAGAGTTCCCCAGCATATACAACAATGTAATACTAAGATTGCAGTGGCCATGCAGTCATCATGCACGCCCTCCTGGGCCTGGTCCGCTCAGCGTTGTGGCAGGACCGGGTTTTGAGAAGAAGGGTGGGCTCCCACCCAGTTGAGCAATATCAGTCGCATTGCCACATATCATCATAGACCGCATAGTATGTATGTTTATGGGCCACTTTTCCACCTCAAGCAACAGACTTGCGTGTTCACATGCAAAGGGAAAAAAAGCTTGACCTGCTGCTGTTGGCCCCGTATTATTGGCGCCGAGCCATCAAGGTGCTTTTTTTTACGTAGGCTTTTAAGAGAACTAACTATCAATTAATTGTGTTGCCTGAATGCAAGGAAGCGCCCATTTACAACCGGGTCTGCTTTCTCATTCTGGCCTGGGGTACCAAACGCCTGTGCTCCCATTCCCAGGGCATTGCGTCTGGCCGTGATTCGGCTTCCGTGCTTTTCTTTTTCCTCTTTCTGGTGACGAATTGCTTGATGGCGCTGTTGTGGACGGAGCCCTGTGTACGCAATTCCACCAGCCCGTCATGTACCTGGCCATCCAATCTACACATACATAGTATGCAGCATTCGTCGATCAGGTGGGTGGGATTCCTCCGAGTACGGAGGAGGTTAGATATGGCTGCTGGGCGCGTACATGCATCGTACGTACTATGTAGGCCCTGATGATGGAGGGGATTGGAAGCGCCTACTCGGGTTACGTATATATTTTATGCTTTTGCATGAAACCACAGGCGTTGTTGCTATAAAGGTTGAAACAGCGCCCACACATATCTATCACATTATATATACCAGCACACGCTCCCTCATATACTCCTCCCATCTACCTTGGACAAATACCCCAACTATCAATTGACCGTCTACACAATTGACTACTGCGGACAGCCACCCTGGTTGAATATTTATTGAATTGACGCCATGGCCTCGATGTACTTCCAACACACCTCTCCCCGAGTCTGGGACTACCTGGAGCAGATGGACGCTGACTGGGTCCATGAATCCTCTATCCTCTCCAACGGCAATGTCAAGTCTGGAGAGCTCACCTGGGGAGCCCAACTCAGCTATTTCCCCAAGCAAAAGCCCGTGTCGACCCGCCCCCGTTCGCTGAGGAGAGAGCCCAGCGATGCCTCCTTCAGGGGCCACCGAAGCGAATTCCTTGCTCGCCGTGACAATATCGGTCGAGACAGGAGCGCCTCCAACGGCAGCTTCAGCTCCATTTCCACCACCTCCGGACTGAGCTACAGCCCGTCAAGCCACGATGGCCCAACCGACTTGAGCTCTGTCATCCAAAACCTCAGCTCCCAGCTTGGCTTTGACCTGAACGAAACGTTCAATTGTGCAAAGCAGTACGGCAAGCCCATCAAGTCAGCCAAAGCTCTGCCAAAGTCTGCCCCCGTGGCCACCTCCCCAAACGTCAACGCCAAAGCTGCAAAGACATCCAATGTCCGACACGAGTTCGTCGTCCGGGTTCCGCATGTGCAGAAGCCAGCGCCAGCAACGACCGTCGAATATGACACTATATTGTCTGCCTTGAACAACCCTGTTAATGCTGCAGCTGCAGCTGCAGGTGTCGATGAAACGTCCAAATCCGCCCATGAGAACACCGGAACCAAAGAAGCTGATGCAAAGAAGATCAAAAGGACGCGTAAGGTATCGTTTGCGGAAGTCATTCAGGAACTTCCCACTCTAACGGAGACTGAGGCGGGCACAGAGCCAGAGATGGTCCTAGACGATAGCGGAAGCGACAGTGACAGTGACAGCGACAGCGTTCCCGAGGCAGTTTTCCTGAATATCGAGAATGCGACACAAAATGCGCCTCGCGTTCGACATGTGGAGATTCGAGACGCCGAAGATGAGGAGAAGGACTATATCACCATCTATCACTCTTGACCATTCCTTTTGTTTCTTTCCCTATCGAGCTGCGCTCTACGACTCTTGTTAGTTTTATTAGCCACCTTACTTGGTTTTGTTTCTCCCTCCTGTGATTCCCTTGATGCTATGTGATTCCCCCCTCTGTACCTAGATTCATGCTCAATTGAAACGCTGAAATTCTCCATGAAACTCCGCCGTATTTCTCCGTATATTCCGCTAGGTCGATCTTCGTATACAGACAGAGAAACTTGAAACGGGGTAAATCACCCGAACTGATTATATGGTTTGTCCTATCGGCGAAGAACGAAGAGCCACGACGGGTAGATCAGTGCATATGGACTGACAAGGGGGGTAAAAGGACTGGCTACCATCCCTGACCATGTAAGCGCCTGCACTGGACGGGTTTCGAACACGGGAGAGCGACTATTATGTACCA